CTTAATGTAGAAAGCCCTTTCATATCTGACCAAGTGCTCCACATAAGATGTCTGTGTGGAGGCTTAAATAAATAGTTCGACTTTTACATTAGGTATTGCTTCAGACGGCTGACCCCCAGTACTCAAGCAAAATGTGCCTTCGAGGCTAGAAATAAAGCTAGACCGTCCCATGTATACCTGCGTTTAGTTGGCAAACATGTTACCACTGCATTATCACAGGAGCTTAAGTGAAGGGCTGCTTAGGATTTAATCTCTCTTGCTCTCTCTGAAGATTGCTGTGAAGTATCTATTGGTAATTCACAGTACTGGCCCTAAAATTCACGATAAAAAATGAGTCCTTTTTTGCAGTGCAAGCACATGTATGCACATGTTTCGGCAGGTGGGTATGGCCTTTCGCAAGGTTCACATAGAACCCGCCTTCCTGCCTTTAAGACGTTTTAGAACGATACAACGAGCTGTGTGAGCCGGGAGAGAAAGCTCTTGAGGTGATTGTGTAAAATTTGCAACATGAGCCTACTATAGTTCAGCGTCTTCTGTTTCTTAAGGCCTTTCGGAACCTACTTTGTAATTCAAATCGATATCTCCATCTCTGAAGCACTGAAGCGTATTTTAAAAAATGCTATTAGATGTTGCTTATTCATTTTTAGTAACGCACACAATAATCTTGTCTTAGTTGCACTGTTACGTAAAGAATACAGTTTTTCAGTGCTCTTTTTTGATGCAATAGGACACTGCCGAAGAATCCAGTTAAAATAGCAACAGTGCAGCACACTCAAAATAATCCAGAAGAGCAATGTTTTAGGCTCCAAATTAAATGGATAAATAAAGGAAAGAGTTAGGAAAGTTTAATTAGTTTCTAGCCGACATAACATTTTTCTGACAGTCGTTTAGACGTATTTTTAAAAAGTGAAGGTATTACTCCCATTGGTTCACCGTCATTACTAAGCTGACATTCATTAAGCAGTCGTTTAGCCACATAGTAGTGTTTAAGATATAACGAACAGGGCGTGACTTTGTCCAACAGAAGCTCGATGAGACCAATTTTGCCTCATCAAGGTATTAGATGCAACTATATACATATATAATAAATATCAAAACGCATGCAATGATCTAATATATCAAGTTAATCTCTTTTCGTAGGCAACTATGCTTAACCTTTCACACAAAAAATTAAGAGCCACACCAAGATATATAGGTCTGCGTGCTTATAACGACACCGAAAACTAAAAGCGCAAGCCGGAAGAAGAAATCCTAAACGGCAAGTTAACTTCTTCGAGTCTTGATGAACTCGTTAGGTAGATGAGTTACTAAAAATAATATGTTATAAGATTAAAAGGAACTCCTTGTGCAAAAATCAATCCAAGCTTAATAAACAGCGATTAATTCTTTCGTTGAGTAAGTTTTGAAAGTTCACAGCAGTTTTTTTGCGAAAGTATTATTGACAAGCAACTGCCCAAATTGATGTCCTCCATCTTCATATCACAATATAATAATAATAAGAAGCAATAATAAGCAACCCAGCTAGTCATAATAAAAAAAAGTAGCGCGGTTTCGAGAATTATCAAAAACTATTTTTGAAAGTAATATTGCTTGGGAAAAAACAACAAAAAGATAACAAAATATTCATCTGCCCTCAAAACTTTTTCTATCTGTTAACGGCGCAAAAGTAATTAGAAAGAGTGTCTTTAGACTTCTTTAATGCGCAGTATTTGATTGATACCTGTTTAGGTAACCAACGCATTGCTGCAGATGTTCGAAAAGTACAACAAGTTGAATTTCTAAGTAGACAAAGGCTCAGTGGCGTAAAACACAAAATAATTGTGAACAAAAATATGAACGAGTAAAAAAATATTGTTGCAATTTTTGGGTTTAATTGCATCATCTATGGCCCAAAACTCAGCTCAAAAAGAAAAACGTAGAGCATATAAATTGGGAATTTTTATGAGTTGTTTCCAATAGAGCGTGTGAATAAAAGAAAATATTGCAGCAAAATTGTTTGCATATATTAGAAGTGCCATTTCTAACGGTTGTATTTATTCAACACAACTATCATTTGCCTTGACTTCATCTTTAAATTACTCAGAATATTACAGAGTATTTTTTTATTCTGCCAATAATTTCTTTTTGAGAATAACTGTACATCAAGCAATATGGATAGGTGTAAGTTTGTTCAAGAATTATTCATATACGCTACATACGAAAAACACCAGCAAAGTTAAGTTTTAGGCTGGTAGCAAATTAAAAGCACCAAAAATACAAAGGCGCAAAACGACCAGCAAGCTCTAACTCCACGTAAAAAGGCTACGACTCAATTGGTAATTAATCTTCTTTGTTCTAAATCTTCTTACTTCTTTTTGGCTATTGCATCAAAAATTCAGGCATATAATTTTTTTTTCGAGTCATTATTTATTTTCGATACTTTTGTGTCTAAACCCTACTTAGGATTGCATCATTAACATCTTCTTCGGATTTTTTAAAAGGTGCATGAATACTGGCAGTAACGTAGACTGTCGATTTCGGTGACAAATATTTACGGTGGGTATTACTTCAGCGCAAACAGATACGGTATACGATGGTATACGACTGTCTTTTACTGTGATGGGTTTGTACTACCAAAAGCAACAAATGAGCGCATGTCGGTTACAGAAAACGATCCGCGAATATTTGACTTAGCTTAGATAGCTTACCCTGTTCATATATACTAGAAAATATAAAATATGCTTGACATGTTTCATCAACAATGCGAGCCGTTGACAAGGGAAACGTTTCAATATATTACAATAAGGGTTACTCCTATATTTGTATTGGCATAGTATCGGGGCTCTAAATAATGGCTAGCGTAACAGAAGTCTAAGGCGTTTCAATGTTTTCAGTGCAAATCTTCTACGCAAAGATAGTCGTCACCTTAATTACAATCGAAAGCAAGGCTTTAGCTTATTTTAGCGCAGCGTAACGTTCTTAGCCGTCCCCTACGAGGATCACTGGTCGTATACCCATGAACACCTTCTTGAATGCCGCATTGGATACTCTGACCACAAGACATACTCCTTGATTCCACCAGCAGCAGTCACGATTTACGTAAACGACTCGTAACAGCATCTTAACTGCTTAGCTCTGCTGAAAAATTTGTTTTTACGCCTAAAATTGATTTCGAAGAGTTTAAATGTTCACATACCTGAGACCTAATATCCATCAATCACGACTGTTCGGATCAGCAATAAGGACATTAGGACCTTGAGTACGAGATCATTTTGTATGAATTGATGAAGCTGAGTGACCCATAAATGGAAGATTTGCAATTAGTTTCGAAGTTTATTAGATTAAAAAGGTTTGTTTTTTTCTATTTGTCTCAAACTTAAAAACTGCGCGACATCTTGCTTTTAGATACACTTCATTGAGCCTGGTCTTAGCGGTCAAAGGCTTTATAGACGTGAATACTTCTCCCGATTTCTCTTTTCTTCCAGAGTTGAAAACACATTGCTATGAAAGTGCACCAAGCACGACCTATGCCATTTTTGTGCTACGGCTTTGTTGAAATGCAACTAGTAACTTAGAACCACCCAAAAACCTTATGAAAAGCGCTAAGAGCAAACGTATGTTTGCTCTTAACGTTCCTCATAGCGTCCTAGAGTTTTGCACCCCACCCTAAATTCATGTGTCTTCAATATCAGCTGCTACGCTGTTACTACAGCATCACACCAACCGTAAAAAGTTCCAGCCGGGTAGTCAAATTAAGCATTACTACATTCTAGCAAAAAAAAAAGTCTAATGTCTAAAATCTGAAAAGTCATAATTCTCCTCTAATGGTTAAATATCATAGTTTTAAATTAAACAGACGAATAGTGAGGAGACCTGTACTAAAATTAGAAAATACCTTTAGTCAGTGGCTGAAGGCCTGTATGTATGCATTGTAATGCCGACGCTTGTTGCGACTACCAAAGAAATGTTTCTACGGTGATGTGTCAACCTTCTAGACAAAATCTTTCAACAGAACAGACCAATAAAGGACAATGGACCATGTTATAACGAAACGCTTTCATTCATGCGTATTATAGTTATTCTCCCATTCCTACATACGTATCTTTCGCATGTAAGTCCTGGTATCCTGATGAGGGTAGCTCGGCATGCTAGTGATAATCGAGACTCTTTAGAATAGCGGAATGATCAACAATAGGATAAAGGCACCCATTATAAAGATGATTCGCCAGGCAGTCGTATTATGTTCGACCTCTGCATTTGGGCTATGTGTGACGTTCCGTGGTTAGCTTCCGAGAGGCCGCACTCGTTATATGTATAGACAACCAATCCATGCTGCCGGAGAAGTAGACATTACCATGTCCAGGGTCATAGGCTATCTTTAGCAGCACGGAAGTTACATAATGAAAAAAAGGTACAGACGATAAGCTGTTGCTATCCGGTCGAAAACGTCAAAGTTGTACGATCGACTGCATTGAGCTGCAGTGGCCGAGAAGCGACCGATTGGCAAGGGTGAAATTGCAAAAACATGTCAAGGATGGTCAGAGCACGAGCACCAGACAACAGAAACAGTAGTAGGTACACAAGTCATCAAAGGTGACTACCATTGAGCGGTGTCAAAACCTTCACTCAACTACTACTTCCTTGTTTGTGAACTTGAATTTATATCTATTTGTTGACAATAATATTTTGTACAACACTTTAAAACAACTGGCCGCTCATGGGCCATACGTAACGATAAATCATTCATTTTCTACATGTTGTTTTCGTTGTTACAGTACTCGTAGTTCCGTTTGCCTAATATTCCCTTCACTGCGTTCATTAGCTAATTGGTTCTCCATAACAACCGCAAGTGTCTCTATACATTATTTCAAATCACAGTGTACAATTTGTAGTTTCCTGCAGATTTACAAAGCAGTAAATTCATCTCATTTTATATTATTTATTCATTTACTTACGGGATGTCAAAAATGGTTGATTATTAAGCCTGCAAACATGGCCATCATAACTGCTTGCGTTTCCGCGTGAGTGGAAATCTGTCGGTGACGTTGTCTACCCTAAAGTCCACTTAGCCGTAACAGTGCAAATATAGCTGTGAATTACGTTACAAGGGAGTTTAAAAGAAATGGTAATAAATATTCTGTTTGGCCAACAATCCTACTACATAATAAGCCACCATTGTTGCGGGTGCGGACATCAATTTAGGCTTCCACTACCAGCTGTGTCACCATACCATTGTCTTTAGACATAAATGAGACATACGATCATTACAACAAAAATAGGTTTTCATACTTCGACGGCGTTACTATAACGATAGCATTAAAGACAATTATAGCTAATACAACAGTATTATTTTATTTAAAGGAGACAATGCATTAAGATATTAAATGGAACAATTAATAATTGAATGGACATTTGGGCTAGAAAGTGGCAACCGTTTTGGCAACGTAATGAGCAAAGAACGCAAATTTCTGTGTGACTTTCGCGTCTTACTAACTAAGCTATAGATACGTTCGAAAAAACGCGATTAATTGTTATAGTAGTATGTAAAGCTCAATATATTTATACTTCATATTAATTCAGATCCATAAAATTTTTAAAACCATTTTGCAGAAGAAGCGCGAGGGAATAACGTAAAATTTATTGGAATATATTAACGGTAAAGGGTTTCAACGGTAATCTGTATATACTGAAGTATATCCTAAACTGTGTTCAATGAAATCATAAATAAGTGAATAATGTAACTGCCTGAAAATGAGAAGAAAATATGTACCGCTTATCAATAATGTATGACCATATATACCGTTACGACCGTTAACAACCAGTGTGAGCAAGCCATTATTGTATACAAGATAACAGTCACTTCCTGTTACTCATTATCCGCATATCAATTGTTTTTATATGCAACACTATTATGCTACTTGCTTCTGCCTAAACTATGAACCTACTTTAGCCCCATGCGTTGTGTCTGTCCAGAAGCAAAGAAAAATCATCAGCTCTATAGATCGGGTTTCGGGCAAAAATTATTTTTGTTTACTACTCTGCAACAATCAGTTACAAACATACATTATTCATTATATTGTGAGCATACGGTTCTACACCTCTTTTTAGGTGGCGGAAGCATATAGAATTCTATAGGCCATTTTGACTCGATTTATGTTTTGTAACTCGGGTGTATAGGATGTACAGGAACACCTGATTTATAGAACTTAGACACAAAGAAACAAAAATTTCACTAGTTCGTGTAGTTTTGAATTGGTCTTACATGAGCACACATGGAGATACAACCAGTTACATATGCTCCTTAAATTTTCTTTATGGTTTGTTTGCACGGGGCTGAGATTCCTTTAGTAATTGAAAGCGTTTTATGTGGCGAAGTAAAGCGAATTTAATTTATTGGCATATTTCGAATAAAAAGTGTGACGACATACACAACTGCATCCCGAAGTAACTTCAAGGGCTTAAATAATTTCAAAACTAACTGAGCTCTAGCAGGGGAGCGAATCCAGGATTTTTAGCTAGTAAGCATGGCGCCCTGCCTAACAACTTCGCGACTTTCCCACGAAGTTTAAGGCACGCGTCGGTTGTTAGCGTCAGTTTACTTTGTCATCTCCTGCAACCACATAGACGACTTTGTTTCTCTTAGTTTCGAGACGCGTATATATATGCATCATTGCATTACGTAGAAATATAGATTAATAAAGCAATACAAAATAAATGACTACTGCAAATCGTTGTATTTTTTCTATATAGCATGGCAGCTTCGGTATATTTTATTTGACATTAGTCGCTGATAAACTGAAGCACAATGAAATACATTAATTAGTGGGACAACGTACATGAGCAAGGCACGTACATCAGATGATGGCACGGCGTTGTAGCTATTTTTAACTTGAGTACATCTGTATTCTTCTCTTTTGTTTTGAGTGACATTTCGCCACTACTAATTGCTGTATCTGTTATGACATAGCAACACATGCATACATCATATCACACACATGCGCTGCTACGGTTGAATACATACACACAAACATAAATACGCTGACAAACATCTATCCATTTAATGAGCGACCGGCTCGCACCCGCGGGTCTTTTACTAGGATATTCACATGACAATATTAAAAAAAACGACACTGAACACGTATGATATCACCTTTTCAGAATGTCAAAAGCCTTAACAATACAGACACCACCACCAACAAAATAAGGTAAGACCTACTTAGGTATTTACAAGATTATTTACATTATGTAGGAACACGGGGCTACACTATTCTATTGGTAGCATCTTGACATATGTGGCATACACACTCAATAAAAAACCAATACGAGCGGATGTCATTGCCAAGAGGTCGGGCAATACGAGGAAACATAATATAACGAAGCATCCTGACAGATGAACAGACACAGCACCAAAATACGACAATCAGTCAATATTACGATCTTCATATGGGTAATGGTTACACAAAACATCAACAACTAGTGAAAAACTATACACACATAATTCATAGTGCACAAAATTTCAGCATATACGATATCGTAAGCACATACAATAAAACACATTCACACAATTTAAGAAAAATGTTTGCTAGGAAACCAAAAGCAGAACAGAGACAATATCTTTGTCCTTTTTTACCTCCAATGTGACTGGTGTGTATTAAGTACAGAAGAAGAACGCGCCAATAAAATAATGATAATTAATTTAAATGATGCTTATGGATTATGATTACATAACAGTTATAGCAGCAAAGACAATATTAAAAAGAAAAGTCTATGAATATAAATGGCTGTTAGTTACTTTCAGCGGGAGGATAACCATGATAATGGCTTGACTACTTCTATTTTTTCCTCTTCTATATTCTATCTATGACGAAAGTACATGCAAACATGATTAAAGTATAATACAAGTTAGAGTGTGTATGATAAAAAAATAAAGTAAAATATTTGGTTAATCAATAACAAATCGCTTAACCGATTTCGTGTTAAATCGTACGACTTTAGTATGGACAGACACACATTGAAGAACAGATGAATAGTCACAGATGGCGACATGTATACATAGAGTTAGCAGCATAAATACGATGAAAACGAACAGAGTAGAGCAGGTTAGGCTAGGTTAGCTAAGTACTAACTAGCTTACAAACTAACTACCATCCACCACCATTTGCGTGACCGCCGCCGAAGTCCCAGCCACTATTGCTGCCGTGGCCACCGCCTCCTCTGCCGTTGACTTGCGTGATTGAAAACTTCTCACTTCCACCGTGGCCGCCTGTGCCGTTCAAATCCCAGTCACCTCCATGACCGCCACCGCCGCCGCCGCTAAAATCCCATCCACCACCGCCGCCACCTCTTATTTCAGTTATCGCGAATTTTTCGCCGTCCCCTCTACTGTGACCATCGCCATTTCCTAAATCCCAGCCACCACCTTCGCCACCGTGTCCACCACCGCCATCTTCGCCGATCTCAGTCACAGCAAACTTTTTACCACCTCCGTGACCTCCCCCGCCACCGAAATCCCACCCGCCACCGCCACCAAAGTCCCAACCCCCGCTGCCGATTTCAGTGACCTTCCACTTTTCGCCTCCATGACTGCCACCATTGCTGAGGTCCCAACCTCCATCTACGTTGCTAGCGCCATGGCCGTCTTCCCATCCGTGATCAATTTCATGAACCTTCCACACCTCCTTTTTCGGGGCGTGTTTTATAATTGGGAGAGGAATCACCAGTGGAATTATGGGTGGAGTCTTCTTGAGTACCTTGAATAGCTTTTTAAGCACAATCTTTTTAATAATTTCATGTTTGTCGCCACGGACCACAGGCACTACAAGCGCTACACTGACACATACTAAGAGAGGCACCGCTTGAAACGACCTCATACTGAGACTGTTCCTGTCTTTGCCAAGTTCGATTCACAGGTTTCCACTAACCTATCCAATTAGTCGATTTATAATGCAGCGTTTAGGCTAGACCACCTAGTTCGTGCTGACACTTCGTACTCTGTCAATCCAGCCTTTCAGATAATGTTCTTTTTCGTAAAGTCCGAAGAAGCAAATGTAATGAAAGCCCAGTGGTCAGATTCTTTTATTGTGCTACTCCTTCCTCGCAAAAGCTCTCTCCCCGCAGTCACAGCAATAGCATGGCATGTGCGCCTTATAACCAGTCTAGTGGACTATCCTAAAGAAAAAGGACGGTCAGTACAGTGTTCACGCGAACCCTTGTAAAATCCAGTGCTTGCTTGTCGTGGTTCTTCTAAACCGGCCCGAATCTAAATATAATCCGCCGGATGTTCCTATCATCATCACGACCACCATACTGCTGCTGCTACTGCAACTGTTCTTACGGAGTTGCTGACGACACTGTGATTACAATAATGATGGTCATGACGGCCGTAACGTTAATTCCGATGATGATGATATTCTACACTCTGACCCCGTCCATCTAAGAACGACGACAACGACGAGTGGAAGAAGCTGCTGGCTAAATTGACCGAGCGTTGCCGCCGCACCAACTCATCGCTTGCTCACATAGCACATTTGTTCATGGTCAATCAAAGCGGGTAAGCTGCAGCTGTGCATAATCAGAGCATCTTGTTTGCTGCAGCAGCAAAAGCGCCTGCAACCGTTACGAAGAACCGAGCGATATACGAAAGTAAAGCTAAAGCCGTCCTGTACTACTCTTGGTCAACGGGAATCGACAGACAAACCTGGCAAGTATTCCTGTCCCCAGCCGCCCTCCTTCTTTAGGCGGGCAACCGCCTGCTCATCTTCGACAACATACTGACCCCTGATAATACAGCTGAAATAGACACCAGCACATACCCGCATACACACAACAAGAAAGAAGCAGCAACTTTTTTATGCAGATTAACGCATCAGCGTCAGGTGTAGCACCCATCATATGAATACAACAGTATTTGCTGTACTCAGCAGCAAATACATTAGATAGCACCTTATATGTTCACTGATCCAACCAAGCACATACATGTGTAATACCTTTTACATTATTTTTGTGTTGTTTTGACACGTTACCTACAATTCAACACAAAATCCATTCTGCCGTAGTAATATATATATATATATATATATATATATATATATATATAAACAGCTGTAGAAGAAGCGGTACCATGACAACCGGGCTTTGTTGTCTATGGCCGAAAAAGCATCGGGTTTCCTTTGAAGGATAATAATATCGCGCCTTCCAATGAGACGATATGTGGGCGAGCGCGTGAAGCAATGGCACAGGCTAACGTCCGTTGCTAACGCTTTGCTGACCTTTGTCCCACGACCTATATGAACTCCACACAGGGCGCACAAGGCATAATAATTATAATTAAACTAAATCGTGTTACATAAATATTAACAACGATCCAGTCCTATACATGCGCCGCGTAACAATAAAAGATCAGACACACAAACACTTTCATTCACGTTCATTACACACACAGACACATATATATACACGTGAGCATAGGTCTGTGCATACATAATATATTCACAAAAATAGAACTATCTACATATCCATACATGACAATCGACTGGTCTATGACACCAATCAAACATTCCATTGGCAATTTCATTGAAATAGACAGTTTGGTAGCTAAATAGACAGATAGGCTGACGGCGGTGTTAGTAGGCGCGCATTAATTGGTTGAGCCCTAACCTGTTCATCCGTTTTCCTCTGCTTCCGCGGCTTGGGCTTCCAGCACAAGCATAATATCCGCGTACGCCAAACAAGTAATTAAGATATGACCAGATGAATTACCATTCGACCTTAGCCATTTAGGTGTACAACTAGATCCTAATTTGACAAATGTGGTTATTATTATGCATGCAGCATACATTTGTAAGATGTGATGATTATCGCTCGATGATGATCATTCCATGTGATTGTATAATCTATGACATTTCAAGCCAGTCGTCTCTTGTAATTTTACAAGTAGTGGGACTTTCCAATATTGAAGCATACAAAATAGAGACGAAATGACTATTAAATATAGGAGGACGAAGCTGGATTATGCGCTTTCTTTTAATGTTGAATTCTCTTCTTTATTGTGTCACAAAACGGTTAATCACGCCTTTAATTACAAAACCTATCAAATATACGCGATGTGAGACATGTACAATCCATATAAAAGTAAGGATGTCAATCTTTTAACCAACTTTTTTTTATTTTAAAACCGTTTGGTGGGATACAGTGTCTAAGTGCCGTATTGACTAATAACTCCCCAGATAAATACACCGGTGATAGAAATTTTCTAGAAACATTTTATCATTCTCATTTAATTCGTACGTATTTGACATTTCAAAATTTTAAATAGCAGGTATAATTCTTAAAGCACCCGAAGGAAGGTTTCTAGTTAGTAGCATCTCATAATTATACGTGTCTTACTCTGGCACAATTTGGACATTAGCTTTGATTTCTTATCTACAATTTGTTTTTTCGAACAACTGAAAATTTTGTGTTGATTTCTCTTTCTATTACGGGCATTGCTTTTTTGGCTAGCTACAGGGCGCCAAATCGAAGAACTGCAAACGACACAAATAAATATGCAAGTAAGGAAAATGAGATGATTCTACGCAGATTATTGCCATTAGATTAACTCTTTCTGTTTACCAATAGGTCAAAGCAGGCTTTTAAACGAAAAGCTGTGTTACTTTCTTTGTCGTTGTGAGGCAAGGGAAAAATAACTGTAAATCCTTTTTGACACCAAGATCACTATTATTGATTAGTCTTAAAGTTGCGGTTTTCGTTCTTGCCGAGACATGACGGAATTTTGATTAAATACATTCCTTGTTTCTTCATTTATGAACATATATTTTATGCTTGGAGGAATTATATGTATAGATAGTTGTTTACAGTCATGGTTGTCAATGTCCATTTCATCAATCACACAAATGTTTTCGATTCTACTCAGCCTCGTCATGATTCCCTTTAAAACACTATTTTATTGCCATAGCGATAGTAGATGTCATACAATAAGTCATACAATATGGAGACAGACGCAGGACTGCAGCTACTGTCTGTGTTAGTCGCTAGCAAGATGTATTTGAACCCAGCAGTTTTTGTTAAATTATCAATAATAATGACGTATATTATATGGATACGTGTACTGTGTTACAGTAGCTGATAGCAAAAATACTTACGGATTTATTATTGTTTGATCATCCAAGATATTTATTTCCGAGTACCGATTGCGGTGCGATTATGTGATGTTGGTGAACGGCGTGACCCATCGATCGGGTAAGGTCTTTTCAAGTATCTTTCCTGGATCGAACATCGTAATACCTTCCATTCCATGGGATACGGCCATTTTACCGCCTCTAAATTTTTAGATGCGTAGCAACAGTCAATCGAAAGGCATTCGTAGTTCAAGTACTCTTGTCTATTTCCAATTTTTAGCATTTTCTCACCTTGATTCCTGGTATTTTCCTAGCATATGACACATACATATACCTATAACGTTCATCTTATGAAACAATGAGAGCTGTTCTCCATAGAAGCATAATGGCCCTTCTGTTTCAAGCAAAATGTTTCGTCATAAAAACACTACCTCTCCCTCTCGTTCTTTCATCTTGTCTCAGCCTATCTGTCATTGTAGTATGGCAGTATGTGGGAAATATAATAAAGTCATAAGCAAATCAGCATGCGGCTGCACTTTTTTACTAGAGCTCAGCCAGTCCGATTGCCGTTCTAGTTAAAGGTTTGCCCGGGAACGCTATGCTTCAAGTGTATATTAGTTCCAGCCACAGATCTTCAGTTGGCGATTGACAGAATGGTTACCAGACACAAAACCAGTTGTTGAAACAAACAATATGCTTCTATGTGGTATCAACTTTGTTCCATGCTTTGGCGTTGTGATAAAATTGTCTCTGATTTTACCCTGTGGTCCGTATAACTAAAACAGAATAGGTGACCCGGTCTGGCTGAAACTTGTAGTTATTAAGTGAAACGATAGACGATTCGTTGACAAAAAACTATATGGTGCTACTTGCATCCACTAAATCGATTCCTATGATTATGATATAAATAAAGTTTCTCTATATATTCAGAATCAAGTACGGCACTGCATAAAACGAAGGCAGTAAAAATATCAGCAAAAATAAGACAACATATTTTCCTGTTACTTCAATGCCCCATCAGTCAAAAATGATCTTGAACGATATCACGTTTTGTTAATTTAATTATATGCTATTAATGGATATTAATGGATAGCCAGCATATATTCAGATTTTTTAACACAATTTTATATTTGATAGAAGTGCACAAGTTTGCAGTTTAGTCACTGGGTGAAAACGCCATGGCTATAGTTATCTAGCTATAATATGACACTTAATATAAGCCAAAAATAGGCAACGTGTCTGTATACTATAAACATATGATGCTTCTTTCAAGTTTGAGCGAGATTTATTAGTTATGAATCGTAAAAAACTCGCATTAGGAAGCTTGGATTTTATGAAGCATGGTTGATAAGCCTCATATCAGATTTAGGACAGCGGCCGATAACGTACGACTTCGTTTTCAGCTTGCTCATAAAAGGAGTACTACAGCCTCATAGATTGTGCAGAGTTAGTTAATCATTGAATATCGCTTTTAACTTTTGTTTTAATACTACCGGTCGTCTTGGAGATCGGACGTCCTTTATTCTCATCATGGTAACAGTAGATAATAGTGTTAAGGAAAAATTGTTCCCCTTCAAAGTGTTTAAGAAAGCCTTTTAAAAATCCATCATTCCTTAAATTTAGCGCTAGATCACTCTAAATAATTTGCTCCTTCAATCCTTGTATCTAAAACAGGAGTAGCGTTATCCCTTTATAAGTCTAGAAAAACCCATTTGCATCAAAAATCGGCCAGCACCAAAATGCACCATTGCAAGTCGGCTACGCTGTAAATGAACGTGCTTCAACTATGTCCACAACTTTATAGTGCTTCATTTCATAAAAATGTTGATACCTAAATATAATTAAAATGTGTAAATAAAAATTCAATAATGCTTTATTAGCCAAATATTGTAGTATATTATCATCTACATTCTGACATGTCAATACAAATAGGCGATATTATTGCATGTTTTTAAGAAGGTGAGTGGATGTTATTCGTCTTACGGATATTATGTAACACTCTCCATGAAAACCGTTATTTAGGCGTTTAACAAGAACAACCGCAATTAGGCGGGTTGTTTGTGCATGACTTACATAGATTTCGATAACTTATTCAAAGTACTGCTGTTTTCTTATACATGCGACTATCGAAGAGATCGGACATTGCATTTATGGATTGAAGACAATGTAGCTCCCATTGTTGGAAATAACACCATTTAATATTCCGCCGTGTAAAATAAAATTGTACTTTTGTAGCATCTTTTTAGACAAAGTTTCAGTAATATAGTGCAACAGAAATCACGATCAATAGAATCAACAAACCTTTGCACACATAGAGCACAGAACTGACCTCTTTTCTAACTACGCACCAGCCGTAAGGCGACTTATAGATTTGTGCCATTACATTGTTACAAGCATGACATTGACTGTTTACTAGTGCTCAGGCTGGGCACCAGCTCGTGTTTTTAATCCCATTCATCCATACGTCTGCTTCGTTAGTAGATGAGATGATAGCATTTTCCTATGATTATTTAATACTCACATGGGTCCATATGTCAGGTATATTTTAAGCAAGTGTATTAACAGAAACGTTAGTATCAATGCTGTTAAGATTGTACAAATATTGTGTTTTG